TTGACATCTGTGACTTTGGAGCGCTGCTTTGTTCGAGTCTTTGGCGACGGAGGAGAGACCGGCTCTGCGTGGGATTGCTCGGGCGAAGCAGAAGTTGCAGCTCGTCTCTCGAGGTCCTCCAAGCGGCGCTTCAGTTTCTTGCCTGTTGGGTTGCGCCGGGTCAGGAATGTACACTCGGAATGGTCTTTCTCGTTTTTACTTACGATAGTTGCGTTGCGCAATACGGTTTTGGATGCGCCGACGCTCTGCGAGATCCGAGATCTTGGTCCAGTCTTCGTTTGGGTTGGCGTTAGGACTGAATGCGCTGCTGTTGAGGTGACTACCACGAGAGCCTGAACGGCCATCGTACGATGGAGAGCGATTCATAGTAAAGAGGCAAAGGCTAAGAGCGATAAGGTAAAGTACAGAATAGAGTAGACAGAGAGGAATAGTATAGTAGAAGTAGAAGTAGAAGTGGAAGTGAAAGATGAAAGTGGAGGGATGTGATAACGGGGCTATGAGGCTAAAGATCCGTGGCCAAGTGGATGCCAGTATATTTATATATAAGGCTTCGAGGACTCAAGGCCATTGATCAGCTGGAATTGGTTTTTCGGGCCTTGCAGCTAAGCCCCGTCGCGATAACCAGGTCAGTCCGTGCTCGAATGCCATTAGACTCGACTTGCCATGTGCACAAAGTCCCGGGCTTATTTCTTTTTTTTTTTTTTTTATTTAATTTGCTCAGGGATCTACGTTCAGCCTCTGGTAATACTAATGGATACTGTCATGAAACTTCTAACTACATATGTACAATGGTCAATCTACTGGAACGAAACAGCGAAACCCTTAATATCTAATATACCAATCACTAACCAAGCTGAAACCACTAAACTCCTAATTCCTACTACTAACACCGACAGACCGGTCTCTGATCGGGGGATCTCAGATCTAACACGTAGCACCAAAGTGGTACGGCGTATGATCCAAATCCAAGACGGTAGGATGGATTATTGGAGTTGGGCCGGGACTCGCTAGACGTTCGCTTGAGGGCGATCCTTATTTGACCTGACTGGCCCGAGACACGATATGCCCAGGGATGAAACGGGATGCGTGGACTTTGGGGTTACACCTTGCATTTACTTTCTTCTCTATATTCTCACGTGGGTTGCTTCAATGTGCACGGTCGTTACCACGTTTTTGTTTGGTCTTCATCTTGGCAACGGACTAGGGGATAAAGATCTGACTCTTTGGTTGATCAGGATCAGGATTCTGGCACTATTGGAATAGGAGGAGGGGTATTCGGGACTATAGACGAAAACCCTTCCTGGGAAGTCTAGGCGCACTGGAAGTCGGGCCTGTATCGCCTACAAATGCTCTTTACCAATTGGGTCGTATACTTTGATTCACCCTTACGCATGTACTGGAATAACCACTGTCCTTCGTGACTCTATAATTAATGACACTTTGCTTTTCTTGGCTGTTTTTTCTGGTTTTTCTGTTTTTTCTATTTTTCTATTTTTCTTTTCTTTTTTTCTGAATTATTGTAACCTTCCTGTGATCTCATTGACGCATTTCCACTAGTTGCCTGATTGGCGGCATCGACAATACCAATCTAGGTATATGTTGCGCAGAAATTAGTCCTGGCCGTATTCCTTTTTCGTACATCGTAGTTAGGAGTTAATGTTTGCTTACTGCCTAGTCTAATCTATAGCCCCGGAGATACGCCTAGACCCGGATTCTTGACAAATACGAAATACATCGTTCAAAGCCCGGAAATCGGGGGCCGGAAGGGAAATCCGAAAAAAGAGGCTCTTCTCAGGTAAGACAACTATGCTATGAATAGGTAGCCTTGCAGGGTCTCTCCACCAATTCGGGTCGGAGTTAATAGCAGGAATGCAGTGCGTATTGGTCCAACTCCGCTAGTGCGTGCCCGAAAGTCGTCATTATCCTCCCTGTATAGGGCTGAGCTGGACACCTTCTTATTCCTGATTGAGTAATGTCGGAGACGCATCCCATGACCACAGTGACACGCTCAACGAGCACGGCAGCTCAGGTACCCGGTACATAGTTCTCTTGACCGCTAATGCTGTTCACGCCTCCGGTTGGAATTCCAAGCATTGCACAGCCATCCTGGTGGAAACTCTTCCTCCTGCAGGGATTGTAGCCACTCACATACCATGTTCGTCCTCGGATGCTGGGATGGGTTGCATTTCGAGCCTTCTAGTAACAATCTAGAAGAATGTTCCTGGCGGTGGGCTATCATGCAGCCCCCGACCTTGCTGTGTCCGAGATGCACACCCCCCATGACACATGTATCGCTGCAGAATGCCTCGTCTTTTCCCCCATTGTGTTTTACTTGCTTTTGCCATTTTTTCCTTCTTTGGGGGAGTTTGGTGTCACTCGAGGAATATCAATGACGGCAATCTCCGAGCCTCTTGTGTCGTGCTGGCACGTTGTCGTTCTCGCTTGGGATTGTTACACTAAACGTGAAATGGACCGAGTGCGAAAGCCCATTCAAGCGAGTTCACTGGGCGTGCCAACTTCATTCCAGTTCGCTTCAAATAGATTTGCCTGGGTCGGAGACGTCGGACAAGGCGTCCAGTGCTGAAGCTGGGTGCGAACAACACAATCTCCGATGCGAGTCCATGGCAACTGCAAAACGAACATGGTTAGCGTCCAGCTTGTTGCTCTCTTCCAAGGTTGTCTCGAGTCACACCAACAACTCGGCACTTAACTTCTTCAAGTTTGCGTTTTACTATATTTGTCATGTATAGGTCAACAATAAGTCCGGGAGAGAATAATTATAGACTCTCGTCGGGGGTATCCCAAGATAAGAAGCTGACCACATGTTCCCCTCCAAGCCACCCAATTCCGGTTATTCCCCGATGCAATAGAATTCATAAGAGCCTTAATGGCAACCCCCCGAATATGCCGAGCACTAATTTTAGCCTATGAGAACCAACAACCCCCATTGTTCTCCATGCGGAACATCCTGAAACGTCTGTTGTACCCCGCTGTGGTTCTAATTCTTGAATCTGTAGCCGAAGGGCGTACAGCCTGAGTCTGAAACCTTTTCTAGTGCAGAGAAAGCCGAGCCGTCTGTTCTTTTTTTGCCTTTCCTCTCGCTTCATTTGTCGCCTCTGGGTTTAGCCTCATTCCACGTGGTCCACGTGCTGCATGTCGCCTATTTTACCTTGTTTTTGGTCAACGTGCAGCTGGATATCTGCCGTTGGTCTAGGCTGTATTCCTGCGATATGATCCATTCATCCGAACTATCAATTGGATGGCTCTCTAACTCTTGTGATTAGATTGGCATGTACGGCCCTGTCTCAGGGTTTGTCTGAAGTCAATGTGAAATTATAAGACGAAACAGGCGGGGTTACGGGTTCGGGTGGCTGGCAGTCGTCAGCACTATGTTTGTGTAAGGTCAAGCTAGACGATCTGACTAACCTATCTGAAACTCCATGCTTGGGATAGTATTATGCTGGTATCTCAGCATTGTCTCTGCAAACGAGTTATTTCGACTCAGTTCGAGCTATTGGCTTTGAAACAATCTCAGACAAGTATTTCTCTAAATAATGGTGTAGAAGGCGTTTCTCGTAAGAACAGACTGCAAAAAGTACCATTTTTACTTCAACTGCATCTGCATCTGTCAACAAAGTCTGCGTTGGCTCTTCTTCCTGACATAGTTCATGGTCAATCTATCTTCTTCCTCCATCATGTAAATCTGTCATGGTTCGTGGCGTTATATAAACAAGTTCCGAGCTAATAACTGTATAATCATTACCCCGGATGAAGATATATATTTTGGCATATATTTCGCCAGCATGTAGACTCATTTGAAAATTATGCAACCCTAGCATGGTGCCTATGCTGTGATTATATGTGTCAAGTTCTTTACTTTTCCCTTCCTAGAGGCTGTCATAATAACATATAATAACACCCCATCAATGCCTCGAATGGAGTTGACGAGGTTCATGGTTCTTACTGTTTATCTTCGCGTTTCAAGACGTCGTTTGCACCTTCCTGCATTATCCCATGAGCATCTACCCGTGGACATATTTGGAAAGGTAAAGAATCACCTATTGACGTCTGAATCCGTATAGTCTGAATCATAATCTCTGAACCTTATAAACGCCTCTTCTTCTGTTCCCTCTCCTCCTCCTCTTCTTCTTCTATCCACTCTCCTCTTTTCCATCTTAAGGGTTCTTATTTATACACTTCAACATCCTGCCCTTTCTTCAACTATCACGTTCCTGGTAAGGAATTTGCAATGAGATCTATCACCTTGAATTCTCCCCCCATGCTCTTTGGCCCTATGTTGATCAGAAGATCGCTAAGTGCAGCTTGGTTCTTCTTCCAAGGGGTATGGCTCCTTGATCCACCATGTACACTTGTCGAGTGATTGACTACATTCCCTTTCGAGATAAATTCTTATCACAACTAAGCGTAAGTGTGATACCTTTTTTTATCTCGAAAGGGAATGTAGTCAATCACTCGACAAGTGTACATGGTGGATCAAGGAGCCGTATCCCTTAGTAGAGGAGAAGGGATGCACTTAGCAATCTTCTGATAAACATAGTGCCAAAAAAACATGCAGCGTTGCTGGTTGTTACTCCAAGCTTTCTTCTCAATCAACGTCCTAGGAGTATCTCAATGTAGTTGAACTGACCTGGTAAAACCTCCGTAGTTTGTATTTTCTCCCCTCAGCAACTGTAGTGTGCCAACTATACAGCATGTGTTACTCGAGGTGTACATTATACATCTACGAAGTCGTAACTTAACGAAAACCCGAAGATAGCAAAGTTTGGAAAAGCTCTCTTTATAAAGAACCAAGCTCCAGATGAATATGTAAAAGACGCCCGCCGCTGCTCGGTAGCCTCGGTACCTCAAATATCCAAACATGCAAAATGCAAAATGCAAAATTAACCAAGAAAGTATCCCCTGAGCAAGGACTTTTGAAAGCCTCCGCGGCCATACTACAAAGCTTGGGCACAGAAGCCCTTTCGTCTCACATGCCTGTCCTAGAGCGCGACACTGACAGATTGTTAGTAGATTATCCGGGTTCAACAAGGTCAGTGCCAACTTACCTCCATTCGTGCTTCTCGTCACCGTATTGGATACCCTCCATCCAGTTCTTCATCTGGAGAGCAATCTCACCAGCCTCCTCATCCGCCTTCAAACCACAGTCAACCGTCTTACCTCTGTAACTGATGTTACGAACAGGGCTGACGATGGCAGCAGTACCAGAACCGAAGACCTCGATCATGCGGCCCTCCTCGGCTGCCTCGGCAACCTCGGACATGCGAATCTTGCGCTCGCAAATCTTCCAGCCCTTGGGACCGAGTCTCTCACGGGCGAGACTCAGAACGGAGTCACGAGTGACGCCCTCCAAGATTGTACCGTCAAGAGGAGCAGTGATAAGCTCCTTCTCTCCGGTCTCCTTGTTCTTCAAAGCAATGAAAAGGTTCATGGTGCCGACCTCGGTAACATATTCCTCCTCGCCGAAGAGCCACAGGTTCTGCTGGAAACCACGGGATGCGGCCTCGAGTTGAGGCAGAATGCAGGGAGCGTAGTTGGCTCCAAGCTTCTTGTCACCAACACCGCCGGGCCAGGCGCGGACGGCGTAATCAGTGGCCTCCAGGGAGATGGCCTTGAAGCCAGTTGGGTAGTAGGGACCCACGGGACTGGCAATCACATACAGAAGAGCGGATCCTGGTGGGCCAACTCCCAGGGTCTTCTGGGTACCAATCATGGTAGGGCGCAGGTACAAGGAGTAGCCGCGAGCGCTGTGGAGGTTAGCAAGGATATCCATCTAATCCACACAAGATATACTCACTCAGGAATAAACCGACTATCGAGCTTCACCAATTCTCCAATAATCTTTGTCAGGGCGTCACCATCAATAGTAGGAAGGGCAATGCGCGCCGAAGACTTGTTCAGGCGTTCCATGTTCTTATTGGGGCGGAACAGACGGATGCCACCGGTGCTGTCCTTGTACGCCTTCATGCCCTCGAAGCATTCAAATGCGTAGTGGAACACACAGGTCGCAGGATCCAAGCTGAGGTTCTGGTAGGGGATAATGCGAGGTGCGTGCCATCCGTCGGTAGCTGTCCACTCCACGGAGAGCATGTGATCTACATTACAATTGGTCAGGGTCTGGAAGGCAATAGAGCGCAGAGGTTCTCTTACCTGTGAAGTACTTTCCAAAAACAAGATCCTTTGATTCCTTTAGCTCCTTAGGGGTGGTGGTCTTGGTGATGGTCAATTTGGAAGGGTCAAGACCTGGGAGCTGGGAGGCGGCTGCCATGGAGGCGCTGAAAGTTCTCTGCCATGTCCGGCTGGCGGTAACGTTCTGTGATGAGAGAACACGGGGCATTGAGAGCCCGGTCAGTGCCTGTCGGCGAGCGAATTGGTGAAGCGACTTCATGACTGTGGTGATGTTAGGAACGATCCAAGGGCCAGCCAAGGGTATAGAGAGTGAAGAGTGTGGCAATTGAGCAATTGAGTCACTGGGAGAAGTATAAACGTACTGAAATCGAGGAGGTCAATGGAGGTTTATATCACAACCAGAAAGATGACTCCGCGCCAGAACTGCAGCCTCTCTGCGGAGCTCGACAACAACTCCGATGACTCGGAGGCCCCAATCAGGAAGTTCTGCCACCGCCCTACAGATAAAGATTGTCGCTGCCAATCAGCGACTGCAAATTAGAGTTGCCCGCCGACTTCGGCTAGTTCGGCTTCCTTTGGCTTGCTGCGGCTTGCATCGGTTACGACCGAGCTCGGTAGGGCTTCAGGCCTGAGGCACATGCCAGCTATTGACACGATCACGTGATAATACCGATAGGAAGAGTGCCTGTTATCGAGGACCTGAGGTCGTATTGCGCCGGATTATTGACCAAGTATGCACCCAGTGGACAATTCCTCTCAGCCTTTGAGCTAATGTTATTAACCCCCCATTAGCCATCGAGTTCCAACACCGGTCCACCTTCCATTGACCCTCCTTCTAAATCTCACTGTTGTTGAAACTAAATATGTCTTATGCTGGCTACACCGTGACGACACTGTGAAACGAACAACTCCCTTCATTCCGACTATCGTGCCGACCAATTCTCGTCTGCGGCCTTACCACCATGTTTTCGTCTGCGCTCAAATCGTTCAGTTCCAACATTTCCGCCCATTACCAGATCTCACCTAACCCCACCGTCTACTCCGGCCCCTGGAAAATCCACGATGCAAAGAAGAAGTCCACAGGAACGGCGGCTTCGGTGTTTATATTTGATCGCAAGTCACTGGAGACACGCTCTAATGGGTTCGGAAGGAGTTCTGGGTCCTCCGCCAAGAAGCTACAGGACGATGTGATCGAACGACTTAAGCGCGAAGCAAGCAATCTCGCGCGCCTACGGCACCCATCTATTCTTCAGGTGCTCGAGCCCGTGGAGGAGACACGTAATGGGGGTCTCATGTTTGCTACGGAACATCTCACCGCTTCACTTTCCGGGCTGCTGCTGGAAAAAGACGACCAAGAGAATACCACACGCGCTGGTTCGCGAACCAGCCGGTACGTGGTTGAGGAGGCTGATGGGACTCGGAGAAGAAGAGAGGTGGAGATGGATGAGTTAGAAATTCAAAAGGGACTCTTGCAAGTTGCTAAAGGTCTTGAATTCCTTCACGAGTCTGCGGGTTTAGTGCATGGAAATCTGAACCCGGAGGCCATCTATATCAATTCCAAATCAGATTGGAAGATCTCTGGTCTGGGATTTGCGGGGCCTCCAGACTCTTCTGAAACTCGTTCGACGCTACCGCCATTGGCTGTGTCCGAGGTTCTCTATCAAGAACCAAGGCTGCCCGCTTCGGTACAATTGAACCTTGATTACACGTCGCCTGACTTTGCCATGGACTCCAATGTGTCTGCGGCCGCCGATCTCTTCTCTTTAGGGCTCGTCATCATCGCTCTGTACAACTCTCCGCATGTCTCGCCTTTACAAACGCACGCAAATTTGTCCACATATAAGAAACTGCTGAGCTCTCCGTCTTCCACTCCGTCGCAGAGCAATAATTTCCTCTGTTCGAAGCCAATTCCCAAGGGTCTACTTTCTGATGTCCTACCGAGGCTCATTACCCGAAGGCCTGCCCAACGCATGAATGCTCGAGAATTCCAACAAGCACAGTACTTTGACAATGTGTTAGTTTCCACTATCCGGTTCTTGGAATCTTTACCAACAAAGAATCCCAATGAGAAGACTCAATTCTTGCGTGGCTTACAACGGGTACTACCTGAGTTCCCGGTTTCTGTCCTAGAGAGAAAGCTATTGGGAGCCTTGATGGACGAACTCAAGGATCGGGAATTGCTTCCGCTCATATTGCAAAACGTGTTCGGTATTCTTAAGCGGATTCCCAACGGACGCCGTGTATTCCCAGAGAAAATCATGCCTCGTCTGAAGGAAGTCTTTGGAGCTGGCTCGGGCAAGGGGGCTGCTGAACGAGACTCCAAGAAAGATGCTGGTCTCATGGTTGTGCTTGATAATATGAAGCTGATTGCTGATAATTGTTCAGGGATGGAGTTCAAAGATGGTGAGTTTTGTAAATGGAAACCTTCGAGCTTACATCTAACGCTTCTTTCTAGATATTCTACCCTTGATTCGGCTCGGACTGGATTCTCCCACTCATTCTTTGGTGGATGCTTCCCTTAAATGCCTCCCTGTGATGCTCCCAGTTCTCGATTTCAGTACTGTCAAGAATGAGGTGTTCCCTCCCATTGCTGCCACTTTTAGTCGCACTAGCAGCCTCGCTATCAAGGTTCGCAGTTTGGAAGCTTTTAGTGTACTTTGCGGCGCCTCTGCAGAAGGTTCAGACGGGCTTGACGATGATTTGTCTGGAATCCAGGCGACTAAGTCAAAACCAGCCAAGTCCTCGATATTGGACAAGTATACTATTCAAGAAAAGCTCGTCCCGTCTCTCAAAGGGGTTAAAACGAAAGAGCCGTCGGTGATGATGGCAGCGTTGAAGGTGTTTCGTCAAGTTGGAACCATCGCAGATACCGAATTCCTGGCTTTGGAAGTTCTGCCGGTTCTCTGGAGTTTCAGTCTCGGGCCACTTTTGAGCCTTCAACAGTTCAATACCTTTATGGCTCTGATAAAAACTCTCTCAGCGAGGATTGAACAGGAGCAAAGCAAAAAGCTGCAAGAGCTATCCTCTGGCGCTGGACCAACGGGTTTCCAAACTGGTGCCGACGAATTTTCGCAGTCTGCCACTGGCCTGGGCTCGCCCGATGCGGACGGCGGCGCTGGCAGCTTCGAACGCCTTGTTCTCGGGAAGAAGGCATTGCCTGCAAATGGCCAGAGTATAGATATGTGGGGTAGTATGGAGCCAGCCAAGCCAGCGGTTCCAAGCATGCCGCCTTCATTCTCGTGGTCTTCAAATAATGTAGGCATGACACCCCAAGCCAATGCCTTAAGCCAACAGTCCAATCTTGGATTCCGTTCCATTACACCAGATCAGAAATTGGGTTCTTTCCCGGCTCTTGCTCCTTCTCGGCAAGCTTCACCGGTTGTCCAAGCCTTCCCTACTATGCAGCCCTCATCTTCTATCTGGGGAGCCCCAGCCAATGCCAATGTTCGGTCCCACACAGGCCCAACAGGTCAGTCTTTGGGGTCCATGTCGACTATGATACCCTCGAATCATATGTCCGGGTCAACGGCGCAACCGGCACCCAACTACTCCTCGTTCTCAATCCCCCCTCCTCCTACAGGAACCATGGTGTCCAACAGCGCTATGAGACCCCCTCCGATGAACACAGCCAACAGATCAACGTCTTTCCAAGGCACCGCCGCGACACCACAGGCAACGCAAAAGCAAGGGTTGGACAAGTATGAGAGTCTGATATAAAGAAAAATTCTTGTTATTTTCTGGCTGATACCCCTTTTTATTGCTGTTATTGCTGCTATTGCACATTTCCGGCATAGTAAATAGTCGCTGCAGCAGTTGTAATTAAGAAAAGTGACCAAAGAACATTCAATTAGCAAATCAGCCCATGCCAAGCAATATAGATCGGGACTCCATCGGTGATCCGGCCGTTGGCTAGGGAGACACGTACCTGATTGGTGCCTCTTCATACTCTATGTCATACTTCGTCGTTAAACCCCTCCATATGCACTCAATGCGTGGCATTTCGCCGCATTTGTTCTCCCGGAGCTCCGTGTCACCTTTGTTACCCCTCCATCGAATCTCTCGCCGGTTGACTCCCAGACTGGCAAACACCTTCTCCTCGTATACTCATCTAACTCGCGCCGCCATGGACTTCAGCATCAAACAGCATTATCTGGCTGACTCACCTCCGACCGTGGTCAGACTGGAAGTCAAGTCACACTTTGATACACTCAAAGACCAAAACTTGAGAAAATATGCGCACTTTATGAGCAGGTATCGTGTTCCTGGATTCCACCCCAAGAGCTATTGGCAGCTAACCTTTCTCGATATACAGGGCCGCATTTGAGGGCACTCGAGTCACCCTGCGCCAGGTCTCCCCCGAGTCCGAACCTATATACGACCTCATCCTGTCACTCTACCACGCCGCCAATGGCGACTGGAACAGCCTCGCCCAGAAAACACAAGTCAGTCCCGACGACCTCCGTTTCTTCCTTGAATATGCGAGTCAATTCTTGGGCAACTGCGGAAACTATAAGGGCTTTGGTGACTCAAAGTTCATCCCTCGGCTGTCCGTCTCCGCATTCGAGGCTCTGGCATCGGCTACCGCGGAGACAAAGGCGGCTTTCCAGAAGGCCAACACCACCGGAGGAGGGATCTACGAGACCAGCGAAGGATCGATGATGCACCTCGGATATCCTAAGGGCGGCCACATGACCACCTACTACCCCGATTCGCCAACGATCTCAAAGGAGGAAATTACGGCAGTTGGTGACTTGATGGAGAAGAAGGGACTTGCGTTGGAGAATACTAGACTCCGGAAGACATCCTCGGGTGATTTCGAGCTTTTGATCGCGTCTGGTGTTTCGTCGCCTCCTGTGAGGGACCGAGATCTCGGCGATGTGGACACATTTGAGCTTGAGGGAGATCTGAAGGGAAAGACACTGCGTCTTGTCTTCGGTGACCATCAGGAGGAGATGGCAAAGATCGCACACAGTATCAAGCAGGCAGAACTTTCTGCTGCAAATGATAACCAGAAGAAGATGTTGGACTCATATGCTCTCTCATTTGGGGCTGGATCCATCGAGGCTTTCAAGGAGAGCCAGCGCATCTGGGTTAAGGACCAAAAGCCAGTGCTGGAGACGAACCTGGGCTTTGTTGAAACATACAGAGACCCCCACGGTGTGCGCGGAGAATGGGAAGGCTTCGTTGCTTTGGTATGACATGTGCTAGATCTATATTGGCCGGTATCGCTAACATTTGCAGGTCAATCTGGAGCGCACCCGCGCCTTTGGTACGCTGGTTGATAGTGCCGAGAGCATGATTCCCAAGCTTCCCTGGGGTAAGGACTTTGAGAAAGACAAGTTCCTCAGCCCCGACTTCACATCATTGGAAGTTTTGAGTTTCGCCGGCTCGGGTCTCCCAGCTGGCATCAACCTGCCCAACTATGATGACATTCGCCAGAACCTTGGCTTCAAGAACGTGTCTCTGGGCAATGTTCTCAGCGCCAAGGCTCCTAACGAGGCTATTCCTTTCATTGCTGAGAGTGACCAGGAGGTCTACCGCTCATTCCGGGACCCGGCCTTTGAGGTCCAGGTCGGTATCCATGAATTGCTGGGTCATGGAACTGGCAAGCTGTTGCAGGAGACAGCGCCAGGGGAGTATAACTTTGATATTAAGAACCCACCCATCAGCCCCGTCACCAACAAGCCCATTTCGACCTGGTACAAGCCTGGACAGACATGGAGCTCTGTCTTTGGTTCCATTGCTTCGTCATACGAGGAGTGCCGTGCCGAGTGCGTTGCCATGGTTCTTGGCTGCGACTTTGGCATCCTGAAGATCTTCGGATTCGGCGATGGCAAGGAAGACTTGGCTGGTGAGGCCGGTGACGTCCTGTTCGCGGCCTACCTTTCCATGGCTCGCGCCGGTCTGGTTGCCCTCGAATTCTGGGATCCGAAGACCCAGAAATGGGGCCAGGCACACATGCAGGCTCGGTACAGTATTCTGCGCACCTTCCTCGATGCCGGTGATGACTTTGTCAAGTTGTCTTACAAGAAGGAGGATCTCTCTGATCTAGAGATCCATCTTGATCGGTCCAAGATCCTGACTCATGGACGTCCTGCCGTAGAGAAGTACCTCCAGAAGCTTCATGTCTACAAGAGCACCGCAGATATCGAGGCTGGTAAGGGCTTGTACGACGATATTACCTCCGTTGACAGCTGGTGGGGAACCTCCGTTCGTGAGGTCGTTTTGAAAAAGAAGGTCCCACGCAAGATCTTTGTGCAGGCCAATACTATTCTAGAGGGTGACCAGGTCACCTTGAAGGAGTATGAACCGACCCTCGAGGGTCTGATTCAGAGCTATGCAGAGCGTAACGTCTGATATATCTATATACAGTATACAAATGAAATACATATATATTATATATCTCTTTCCCATGGAAGTAGCTACATGTACATATCAATAACCTCCTTTGTGATGTCTTCTCAGATCCGTTTGGACGACCTTTGTGTGACTACCCCTATTCCACACCAAACTACTCCAACAACTCTCTACTAGGTCATATTTGATTCTTTCTGCTCCCTTGCAATATTCATCGTAAAATCCAAGCTAAGACTATACGGCGGATGTACATTCCAAGATTGTACACAAACCCTGGACTATAAAATGATAGATCAATAGTACAACATAGTCAGGTGGGGACCGGCTGGGAATAGGTCAACACATCTGACTGACTTCGAGTCACGCCCATGTCATCTCGCAATAATGTTCCTGTAAAATAGAAACTCGAAATTGAATCCAAACTAAACCCAAACTAAAGTAAAAGACAGAGGACACCATATGTGCCAAGTCTCGATGGTGAGGCGCTCGGACTTACCGCCGTCCAAGTTGATCTACCCGTCTTCCCCAACCTCTAAGCGCTCTCCTTCTCCAACACTCAATCACTGCGAATCTAGCAGATGAAAGCATATATCTGTTCTACTCCCTTTGGAAACAATCCTTCTTTCAACCAGGTGCTAGAAGTCAGTCATTGAATTGGAAAGACTCGCCGACACGGCAACTCGGACGACACTCGACCCAGATCAGTCGCATTGCTAGACTAGGTCAGAATTCGATCATCTCGATTGCGCATATCAGCCTGTCTGACTGATTCAGGCAATAATAGAAACCACGGTGTCGCGAGAAACGCCGCCGTCGGACCCATCAACCACGGCGTGCCCGCCCCATCCAACGGACTCCCTAGAGGAGGACGACGATTATTACACTGCACCTCCACCGCACTCCCCAGCATCAGTGTCAAGTTCCTCCACCGCATATCCTCCGCCATTTTCGTCTCTTATCTTTTCGTTACCGCAAGACACCAATCGCCCATACAAAGTTACTGAACCTGGACCCGCTTGTCCTCCAGCCTTAGCGCCTCCAGCCTTAGCGCCTCCAGCACCTGTCGAGGAGTCGCTCGAGCCGGCCCCATCTTCGGCAGTTGTTGCTGATACAAAAGCGTCTTTCACCGAACCAAAAAACGAGGGCTCTTCCGACGACGGTGAACCACCACCACCATATACAGAAGGCTATAGTCCACTTGAGTCATTCACCTACGTGATGGCTGCTGCAGGAGGTGCCTCCAGTATCATAACCCAGGTCCAGCAGACCGGGGGTCCGCCAATCAACACTCTTGGTGGTATGTTTGTACCAAGGCCGCTTGGTATGCTTTGCGCTAACAGGGTATAATAGATATCGGCGGAGATGAACATGTTGGTCTCGACCTTCGGTAGGTCACACACTGATATATCTCAATTATGCATAGTCTAACAAGTTGATAGTGGTACGCGCTTTACCCTTTCGCGGGATGAGCTGTTGACTTTGCCTGAATTTGTTCTGCTCTCCCTCTTCCCCAATGGCCTCCTCCCGGATGGACATGCTGCAAATGGTTTCCACGATGGGGATGTATTCCCGGTTGACGTACGCAAATCCCTATCTTGAGTATCGAATTCTTCTGACATTTATTATCCAGTATGACCCAGTCTCACTTCAGTACATGCTGGATTTCTTCCGAACTGTCGCACAAACCATCCCCGCATCTCTGCCTTCCAGCTCAAACTCACCAGAAATGGAAATGCAGGACCCACTGCAGGGCTCAGCCCGTGACATGCTGCAAGACCGTGCTGGTATCATTGTTCTTCGAGAGGACCTTGACTTTTATGTGATCCCTCCCTACGCCGACATTGGACACGATGAAATGCTTGAAGTCAAGCGGGCGGCCGGCAGATCACTGTTGAAACAGGACGGCATCTTTTCTGGACTGCGCAAGAGCGAGGAGATTGGATCAACCGAGCAGCATCTTATTGAAATGCTGACAGCTGGGTGAGTAGAACCGGGTTCTCAATTATGGGCCAACGCTAATATACAATATAGAGGATTTGATCGTTCTGACCAGTGGGGTCACCGTGCTCCAGAGCCTAACAAGGCAGTAATCTGCAGTCTTGCGCTGGCTAAACTCCGCACCGACATCCGCGGAGACTTGTCAAACAACAATTCTGTGGGCATGGCCCAGAAGCTTCTCCTCTTTTGGCGCAAGCCTGCCCGCCGCTGCTGGTGGGAGGGTATCGAGCTGGACGACGTCGAGGGCGTCGAGGGACAAGTAAAGGTCTGGATCCGGCGTGTGTGGACTTTGGAGATGGTAAGACCCCTATTCTCAGTTGACTCGAAATTCTTGATAGCTAATCCCTTCGCAGAGTGTTATTGGGCTTCGCTAATTTTTTTCCCCTTATTCTTTCCTTTGCATGTGCGATTATCATTCCCCCGGCCTTGCGGCTCGAAGTTTCGACTGTTATTTTTTTTCTAAAGTTGCATTGAAATATGTCTGCAACAAATATTCAAGTTTTCATCTTACCAACAGCAGCGCTCTACTCAGCATTTTGGTGTACTCATTCCTTTCAATGTATTCATTTTCTAGTCGATTGGTAAACTCTTTCATGGCATCAGTTTGACAGTGAAGGTTGAATATATGGTGCATATCTAGTTTGCAATTGTAGCATTTTCCTCACATGCTGTTTGCTTGTTTTGTGGGCCTTGTATTCCTACAATAGGTTCAGTTCACTACATAGTAGAGCAACAGGCAAATGCCAGTGCCTCTTGATGATGCTAGACCTGGACTTGGACTGCGCGACCATGGATGATCGCGGTCTTGACAGGACTCTGCCTAGCCTGGCGCATCTAAAATTCGTGCTCGAAATCAAAGGTTGGCCAACGGGTGAGTTTGTGGTCACATAGTATGCAGAGCTCTGACTTAGGAAAGTAGAACGTGCCGATTGAAACCGCATTGAGCGTCTAAAAGAAGACGACGGTGTAGAAGCCGCAGAAGAAGACCGAAAAGACCGCACTCTGCACGCGACAACACCAGACTACTGCATATAGTAAAATACTTCCTTCTTAACTGCACATCTCGAACAGATACGACCATACCGGACCCTACCGGGCTGCCAGGAATGCACTCGAACCAACCGAGAATGTCTTGGTTTCGTGATGAGACTGAATCCCCACGACCATGCAGGAAGCACCGGGCAGTGATTGTAGACTTCTAGGAACCATTTTTCACAGAGGTTCTCTTCTCACAGACGTTGATCTCTTGCGGAAGTCCTCTTTTCACAAATGCTTTTCACGGGCATTTTCGAATGAAGCAGATGAGGTGATGGATAAGCTCTGCTATACCTTTTTTGAGCGCCATGCTTTTTATATTTCAGTGACCAAGGGAGGCCATTCACAAACCAATTTGTGAACCTAATGAGATAGAACTACAATGGTTCGGTGTGAGGCATAGCACGTGATGCCCTTCCTGGAACAGGACTAGCGTCGAATTTGGCAAAGTCGCGCAGAATATCGATCCCAGAGCCATTCTCCAGCTGTATTCTTTCTGGATACCTTTGACGCGATCTTAACTTTTTTTCTACCACGTTACTTTATGCCGTGGAATCATACAAGTACTTGTTGTTAACTTTTTTGCGCTTGGGCCATTGCCAATTGTGCCTCACTGCAGTGATCAGCCCTTCGAACATCGAACCGATCAAAACAATCGCAAGCTCGTTCTTTTCTCGCGCATACCCTCGAAGAGGCATGTTCTTGTGCAATTGAATCGCCAACATGTCTCCTCTTCGGGGCTATATCAGTTCCTACCCCCCGCGCATGCGCCATTATGGAAACGCGTTGCTCACACCTGTCGTTCCTCCGTCTCAAACCGGCCCGACTCCGCGCACCACGAAGCGTGGAACTACCGCCATCAACTATGCTGAAGACGGCTTTGATGACGAAGATTTCGATGAGACTGATGGGCCCCGGCGCCCGACGGGACTGCGAAGTCTTCGGCGCGAAGAATCCGCCACCGACAAGTTGGTGCCCTACTCGGAGAAGCTGGGCAAAGAAGTGCATGCACCCGTGGAGGTGCAAGGCCTCTTTCGCGAGTGGATGATCAAGAGAATGTTGCGACCAGCGTATGTTCCCTATTGCCGGGGCTGATGTGGCCATTAACGACAGTGGCCTCTGTCTTCCCCGTCTATCCTTGGATCTGGCTAACATACAGCGTGGTGATTCTAGGTGTGCCGATCAACTGCAGATTCAAGCGCAACTCCCCTTGACGCTCGTTCCCATCCGAATTGATGTCGAAGTCCCCGCTCATCAACCCCTCGAACCATTCCCCTTCCCACGCGCAGTCGTGGACCCTAACGTCACCCACGCTCTTCCTGCGTATCGCAGACCTGAACCATTACCCCCGTTCCGCATTAAGGATACTTTCTTGTGGAACCTCCATGAATCACTCTCAACGCCTGAAGAATTTGCTATTGGATTCGTTCGCGATCTCGATCTCCCAAATCCTCAGGCTACGACTATGACCATCAGCAACCAGATCCGACAGCAGTTGGAGGAATACGCTGGTGTGGCTCTTCACCCACTTTTTCAGAGCACAGACGCAGGCACGGTGCCCAGCGTTCTGCCACATACTGAGCCGTCAAGAGAGACACCAACGACACCAGCTGCTGCCACCGTTGCGACACCTGATAGCCGGCCCAATGTGACGACCACTGTAACCGTAACGAAGGAACCGCTGGTAAATGACAGTCTTTTGAACCCAGACGACGCATATCGGTGTTTGATCACCCTCAATATCAACCTGCAAAACAAGCTGTATACAGACAAATTCGAGTGGTCTCTGCTACACCCACCTGGCATGGCCGAAGAGTTTGCACGCATCACTTGCGCTGATCTCAGCCTTGGTGGTGAATGGGTTAGTGCAATTGCGCATGCCATCTACGAAGCAGTTTTGAAGTTCAAAAAGGAAGTCTGCGAAAGCGGTGCTCTTGTCAGCGGCTACGGCAACGACATTGACAATTTGGCAGCCAACGGTGTGGAGGCTGGCTGGCGGTACGACCCTGAAACCATTTGCGATGAGTGGCAGCCTCAGGTTGAGACACTGTCCAAGGAGGAAATCGAACGGAGAGAGGGTGACCGTGAGCGTCAGATCCGACGTCTGCGCCGAGAAACAGCCAGGTTCTCTTCAACCACGGGCATCACACCTGAGATCTCACGACAGGCCAGTGGTAATTACTTCGAGGTGGATAGCGAGACTCCGCTGGGACGTGGAGAAAGGAACAAGCGCAAGCGCCGATTCCGCAGCTTGAGTCCTTCGGGCAGAAGTGGCACTCCTGGTGGCCGGGGAACTCCTGATACTGGATCAGGGGCAGGATACGGTGGCGGTGGCGGCACGCTCTCCGAGTGGTATGTGCTGCTAGATACATTGTTAGAATATTTACTAATGATTCTGCTTAGGGAACGTCAAAGCTGGAGATGCAAGAACTGCGCGGTGTGGGGCACAGCTGTTTGGGCTGTGCGTGATGGTCCAGATGGCCCACGGGTAAGTCTTTACTTTAGAATGTCTTGCAAACAGTCTCTAACCATCCTTTCCAGACACTCTGCCACAACTGTGGCCTGCTCTATGAGCGTGATAAGGTTGTACCGGAATGGTCCAAGGATCTTCATCGTCACGACGTGCCCATCGGCCGATATGGCTAAATCAACGCCATTTTCCTTGCATCACCTTAATGTACTTTCCTAAGCTTCAATGACCTTCCTCACGCCACCATTTCTCCTTTCTCCGTGTCCTTTCAACATTTAATCCGCTATTGGTGCACTTTCAACCGATCCGGCGTTACGGCGCATCGCCTTTGTTTTGTTGCAGATCGATTTCCATCCGCAAAATCCGGGGGCGTTACTGTCATTGTGAATCCACATATTTCTCTCAATCGGCGTCTTTCTGTCTTGCCTCACATGTTTTCGATGGATGGCTATAGGCAAAGAGCTAGGAACTAGAGTAGAAATGCAATCAGATTAGCCAATGATCCACTTTGAAGTACATATTTGATATTGATGACATTTAAAACATGATCTCATAGACTTACCTCCTCACTTCCTTTTATTGATTTATGGATGTTCTGGAATGAAGTGAAACATCCCTGTCTTAAATTGTACTCGACAAGGTCATCCTTCACGACGAGCCTAACCAGTCTGGCACTGACTCAACAAATCAACCCTCAAGGAACTTCAGAATATGATCGAAGCCCTCAGGCGCCTTAACCCAATGCCCATCCCCTTCCGCACCCGTAAACTCCTCCCAGTCAACACGTCCCACAATCTTCCTCAGAACCTGACAAGCCTGCCGCCCAAGCTCAACAGACACCCACGGATCATCAGCCCCATGACTCAAAAACACAGGCGTCTCCAAAACCGCACCACCATCAACCTTACCCTCAGGCACCACCTCCCCAGCACCAGCAATCTGCTCAAAATAGAACCCCGAAATCAAACTCCGCGTCTGCGCACTCCCAGGCCCAAGGTCCGGCTCAGACAACAACCACTCCAGCTGCTGCGCAAACGGCAACCACCCACAAAAGCCCAGCAGCCCACCCAGCGGGCCCTGAAAGCGGCCCGTCGCCGACGCAGCCAGGAACGCCCACAACGCCGTCGCCATGCCCTGGCTCATCCCGCCGAGATAAATATTAGCGTACTTCCCATCTAGCAGGCGCGCCTCGTCGTCGATGATGGAGAGGATGTGGGCGATGGACTCGCGGAGTCCGGCTTTCTGCAGTTCCTGGTGCTCGTAGATGTTGTCGAGTGAGTATGCGTCGAACCATGCGCACATCTCTTCTTTGAAGGCTGTGCTCCACCGGTTGTGGGAGGTTGGGAATACCCAGCGGTAGGAGGGGAGGTTGGTAGGCAGGTTTTTGCCGTTGGAGGTTTCGGATGAGAAGAGCTCTGAGGCGAACTCGCCGCCGTCGCTGCCGCGGCCGTGTAGGAGGATCACGGTATGTGTGTGGGGGGTTTGGGGTGGGTGAATGTGGGATTTGGGGAATTCCATGCTTGCGAGCTGTTTGGATATGTATTTTTGGTGATTTGGGATTTGGGATTTGGGATATCGGTGATGTCAGATATGGGGGGGTTCTCAGCTCCCCCGCAAGATGTTAGATAGCGGTTAGCGATAGCGGTCAGCTAACTAGAACATAGGGTACGTTTTAGACGACCATCTTCTGCAGTATAAACAACAATTCAAGAGCATTCTCCTATACTATTGTTTCCTAGCTAATACCCAGTGAAACCCAATACTCTTCTCACCACCGTTTTCCTCTTCCCGATCCACCGTAGCCTCATCAACCTCAATCCGAAACCCAATCTCCACAAGAACCCTCGTCACCTCATCCCTCCCCCAACCACTCCAATGCATAGCGCCCTCCGTAGCCCCCAACCAAGAACCATTAGTCGAGCTCTCAAACGCGGCCTCAGAGAAATTCGCCAGAAGCCGGCCCCCAGGCTTCAACCAACCGAATATACGACGCAGCATCGTAGTCTGCTCCGTGCGCGGCAGATGGAAAATGGAATACATGGCCATCACGGCGTCGAAATGCTCTGCGCTGAATTCTAGCTCCATCATGTCGCCTAGGATCAGATTTACGGAGGGAGGGAGTCGCTCTTTGGCTAGGGCGATTTGCGTTGAGGATATGTCGTTTGCGGTGATGCTGATGTGGGCGTGTGAGGATAGTAGCTGGGTGCAGGGTACCCCGGCGCCGCAGCCTAGCTCGAGGATGGTGAGTTGGTGGGTTCCTTTTGCGGAGTGGATGGATTGGAGGAGGAGGTCGAGGTAGGAGAGGCGGGTTTCGTGCGAGGGTTTTGTCCAGGTTAGGTAGACTGGGGCGATTTCATTGTAGGCTTTTTTTATGTCGGATTTGATTTTGTGGTTGGTGGTTTCGGACATTTTGGTGGTTATAGTGTTGAATGGTGAATCGGTTAGGAAGAGAACCGCGTCAGCTACTCTAGGCGTTTTAAGTAGATGACTCATTCGGTGATTTACTGTCTATAAGGCTAATTTACGAGACTGGTCATTGGATATTCTCTTCTGATTGAGTCTAGCCAAAAAAATTAGAGTAGGTAGCTTTCATTTATATTAACATGAATATCCCCAACTGTAATACCTTACTCTCTCGGGAAAGGCCATTTCCAGTTGCGAATATGTTCAGCATCAATACCATTATCGAGTGCCTCGGACCTGCCCGCAATCTGCTCATTGAGCAACTTCTCTCTCACGCCATCGGCCGTGTTACCAAGAGACTGAACCGAGTCAATGGCAGCCATAGCGAGACTGTATCGATCGGTTCCATTGCGCACAGCCAGCTCGAACGGTGTGTCGATGTTGCCCTTCTCCTTGTAACCTCTCACGTGCAGGTTATGTTGACCCACACGCTTGTAGGTGAGCCGGTGAATGAGCCAGGGGTAGGAGTGGAAGTTGAATATGATGGGCGTGTCGTTGGTGAAGATGGACTTCCATCTCGCGTCGGACAATCCGTGGGGATGGTTGACAGGGGAGATCAGGCGGAAGAGATCCACCACATTAACAAAGCGGACCTTGAGCTGGGGGAGATGTTCACGGAGTAGGGCAGTGGCGGCGAGGGCTTCGTATGTTGAAACATCACCGCAGGACGCCATCACGACATCCGGGCCTTGGCCTTGGTCGTTGCTGGCCCAGTCCCAGATTCCGAGACCCTTAGTGCAGTGCGCGAGGGCTTCGTCCATGTTCAGGAACTGGATGTGCTCTTGTTTATCAGCGACAACCACATTCACGTAGTTGACACTGCGGAGACAGTGGTCCATCACGGACAGGAGAGTGTTGCCGTCGGGTGGGAGATAGATGCGGACCACCTCGGGGCTCTTGTTAGCCACCACATCGAGGAATCCGGGGTCCTGGTGACTGAAGCCATTGTGGTCTTGTCTCCAGACAGTGGCGGTAATGAGGATGTTCAGAGACGAGACGCGGGCTCGCCACTCGATTTCCAAGCTCTTCTCGATCCACTTGCAATGCTGGTTCACCATAGAATCAATGACGTGAATGAAAGGCTCGTAGCTGTTGAGCAGTCCGTGGCGCCCAGAAAGAATGTAGCCTTCCAGCCAGCCTTCACAGGTGTGCTCACTGAGGATCTCCATCACGCGGCCATCGGGGGACAGATTGCCGCCGTCTTTATCTTCCTCGAAGTAATCTCCCATCCAGACTTTCTTGCCTGCTTTGTACACCTCGGCAAGCTTGTTAGACTCCGTCTCATCGGGGCCGAAGAGTCGGAAGTTGTGCATGTTGCGAGCGACGATATCACGAAGGAATTTCGCCATGTTGGCCATGCCTCCCTTGGTTGTTATCCCAGGGACGATATCGTTGAAACCATAGTCTCGGAAATCAGGAATGTCCAGCGGGCGGCGCAAAAGACCTCCATTACCAACGGGGTTGGCACTTATGCGGGAGGTACCCGTGGGCGCGAGCTCCTTCAGTTCCGGAATCAATGTGCCGTTCTCGTCGAAGAGTTCTTCTGGCTTGTAGCCCCTCATCCATGTCTCCAAGACCTTGAGATGAGCGGGGTTTTCGCGCACGTCAGTGATCGGGATTTGATGCGCGCGCCAGAATCCCTCGAGAAGGTGGCCGTCAACCTCCCGTGGAGCGGACCATCCCTTGGGTGTGCGCAGGATGATCATGGGCCAGCGGGGCCGGAAGGGAACCTTGGAGTCTCGGGCTTTCTTCTGGTATCCCCGGATCTCGGTGACACATTGCTCGAGTGTAGCCGCCATGGCTTGGTGCATGCTGTCGAAGTCACTTCCCTCGACAAAGTATGGTTTCCATCCATAGCCAACGAGCAAGGAGGACAGTTCGGAGTGACTGATTCGTGCAAGCACGGTGGGGTTATTGATCTTATATCCATTGAGGTGGAGAACAGGCAGGACAGCTCCGTCGTTGATGGGGTTCAGGAACTTTGTGCTGTGCCAGCTGGTGGCAAGGGGACCGGTCTCGGACTCGCCGTCGCCGACCATGGTCAGAGTAATGAGATTGGGGTGGTCATAAACCGTGCCAAAGGCATGAGAGAGTGAATATCCCAGCTCGCCTCCCTCGTGGATACTACCAGGTGTCTCGGGGGTGGCGTGGCTGCCAATGCCTCCAGGGAAAGAGAATTGCTTGAAGAACTTCTGCATGCCCTGCTTATCCTGACCTTTATCCGGGTAGACTTCTGAGTAGACACCCTCGAGGTAAGACTGCGACAGAATTGCAGGGGCACCGTGGCCGGGGCCCGAAACGAACAGAACATCAAGGTCGTATTTCTTGATGAGACGGTTCATGTGCATCCAGGTGAAAGCCTGTCCGGCATCCGAACCCCAATGACCCAAGAGTCGAGCTTTGAGATGCTCTAGCTTCAGAGGTTCTTCGAGGAGGGGGTTGTCGCGAAGGTAGAGCATGCCCAAACACAAGTACATGCTGGCGCGGAACCAGGCATTCATCTTACGAATGGTCTCAGCATCGAGGGGCTTTCCTTCCACGGTTGAGCGAGCCTCTCCATAGGCGGAGATGCTCATTTCATCCGGGATTGGTGTCATGCTGTGTATTACTGCTGAACCAGACATGTTGCACGATATGTCGGGGAACCAGTCCCTGTGTATGGTGACTCCTGGGTTTAAGAAAGAATGGTAAACACTGGAGTTGGAGGTAAGACAGAATAAGAACACGAAGGGAAATAGATTTCAGGACAAGGCGACCTTTTTTTTTTTTCTGTTAATAAGCGGGACAATTGTTTCCCCTTCCGACTGGGAACCCTATGGGCCAACGAGTCAATGACGTGGTTGTCATCCAACGCACAAGCTTCGATGGTGCTAGCAGAGATAAGCATGCAATCCGACCCACTGCCCTGTGCACGTGCATTATTCTGGCATTCATAATTATTCGGTGCTTACGTTGTGTGGCCTGTGTGGCCTGCCAGGTTAAAAAGTAACTAAAAATAGCTTTTATGCACAGTGTAAGTGTCATGATGCATAACCGGAGAAACCCCGGGAATGTTCTTGATCGTACGACGTCGCCTTCGCCGTGAAACCGTCGCCTTTGCCCCTCCGAGGCCTAAGACCGTTACCCCGCACCCGACACCATGTGACTCGGCCGAGAGTGGGGAATATCAACTGTCGATCTCCGAGAATATCCTCATAGTATTAAGTAACGGACAAGTCAACAGTTGGAGAACATTCGAATCAAGTAGCAGAATTCAATCTAAAAAGTCGCCTCTGGTCTCCTCCACAATCAACTCGTACTCCGGCTCAAATTGCATATACATGGCCTCGGGAGTACCTGTTTTTTGTTTAGTATAATACGCAACTTCATCATCCACCAAGGTCTTCAGCAATCCCTCACTTGCACCAATCGACCCAGGTGCTATAGCAGACTGCACCAAGAGCTGAGTCTGACAGGCCCTCTCCAATGCAATGAAAAAGGCCGCCGCTTCGGCAACCGTCCCGCCCGCAGTAAGCAATCCATGATTCTGCATGATCAAATTCTTGTGCTTAGGACCCAGGGCATCGGCAATCAGTTGCCCCTCTTCCTTGGCGAAAGCAACGCCCCCAAAAGCTCGATATACCGAAAGATCGTCGTAGAACATGCAGGAATCTTCAAGTCGGAAATAGTGTCAGCAGGAATGTGGCGTGCGTGGCCCAGGTGGTCCTCTTACCCTGATTCAGCATATCAATTCCCCGGCCAAAAGTACTCCAGGCTCGGCCGTAGGGACTGTGCATATGACACACGGCATGAATATCCGGTCGCCTCTGGTGGATAGCGGAATGGATAATAAACCCAGCCGTGTTGACCGGCCGCAATTCGCCAGTGATCTTCGTTACGCCCGAGACCCGATTGCCTTGTTCGTCGACCCGCACCATATCAGAAATCGTGAGAAGGCCGAAGTGGACTCCGTATGGATTGATCCAGAACGTGTGGGGTTCGATGGGGTCTGGTGTGTGCGGAGTGGTGTTAGAACATGTACAATATAGGCGAAGGATCGCGTAAAGCAAGCATGCATACCTCGGACACTGATATGGCCGCTGCTACCATCTGCGAATCCCATTTTGGCAAAGATGCGAAACGCGCCCGCCATCTGCGCGAGGAGCCATTCTCGTTCGTCTTCTTTGTCGGTGGGTCTTGGAATGTGGTGCAGCCTCTTTACTTCACCATTGTCACTTGTTTCGGTGTTTAAAGCAGAAGTGTTTAAAGCAGGAGTAGCCGGCTTTGCCCGATCTTTGGACACGTATGATAACATCTTGTGCGCTTTTGATTTGGGTGAGTGAGGAAAGATGGTGGGACCGAGGCAAATAAATACTACCCCGCGGAACCATTGGCTATTCGATGACTCGACGACTTTTGCTACAAAATGGTATACAACCTATCAAAGGACAGCTAAGTCTGTATTCGCCTTTGGTGGAATTAGAAGGGTCTACTTGCCCTATTCGTATGGTCTTCCGTACCACCGTCGGAGATTGTCTTTAATTAACTTTTTGGGCGGCAGATTTGACCTGGAGGACTCCGTAAGTGGAGAAGATTGTCATTTCCACATGGCTGCGGCTGGATACTAGATTCGAGTCCCCGCTAGAGATCATTTCAATTGGAAACAGTTTAATATGAGTGGTCCAAATTCAAGAAAGCAAAAAATCCAGAGCAGCGCAACATATAAGCAAAGACACTCATCTCGCAAATTAGAACAGACTGTGCCCTGTCGCCAGATTCGGGTCAAGATGAGGAAAGTCATCAATCGGACGAACGCGTGCAACTGGGTAGGGCGCGTTCAATTGTGCCGGTGTCGCGGTCGGAAGAGTCCTCTGGCCCTGTGGGATCCCAGGGTTATAGTCAAAAACCCAAAGACGCAACGACTGATCCGGACAAGTCCCAGTATAAAACCTGTGCCGCAGCCATGACCCTAACAGACGATCAGCGCCGGCACGCGTTGATTGACCACTCTGAACACAAGCTGGTATCGCTTCCCAGTCCGGGGACATCCATTTCCGTTCATCGTAGCTCCACATGTTGACTTCTATTTCTCTGAATATCGAGGTGACCCGGTTCCCGTCTGCGAGACAAAGAACCCCGACGCCCATGCATCGGGGCAAGGGGTATACGGGTCCACTTTCTGCTTCCAGATTGCGTAGAACGTTGATGTCGTCCTCGAATAGGAGCATATGTGTAGCCCCGGTGTCATCCATAAATGGGAAATCAAAGAAAGGTGGCCTGCTTAGTGGTTTTGGATCTTTTTCTCCTTTTTCCTTTTTCCTATCTCCTTCTCTTACTGCAATCGCTGGAACCTTCGGGATCCGAAGGGCAACCCTCACCTAAAGAGGATTATTAGAGAGATCACTCAACGAAAGTGCCCAATAGGGCAATTGAGAGGGAATAGCTACCATTGTGGCATTCAAACGCGGATCCGGTTGGCATACCATCGAAGTCTTGCTCATGCTAGGCCCAGGCCCGAGAATCTGAGGATTTGTTTTAGCATGTCTATCGATGCAACCAAGGGGGTCTGACACTTACACCTTCAACCCAAAACCCTACATGTCCCTCGTACTTGTCATGGATGTAGCGGTATTCATCCCAGTGGAAAGGTCTCGGCAGGCAGAGCTGGACTCCGGAATACCAGTAGGTGACAAGGTCTGGATTCCAAACCAATTCCCCGGATCGATACCTTGCAATGATGGCTTTCACCGTACCGACCATCTTGTACTCGTCATTCTCCCCCGCGAGCTGATCCAATGTGAATTTGAGATCATCTACGCGCTGTACCTCGGGCCAACTCAAACCTGGCTCTCTAGCCATCAATCTCCTGGGTAGGAAGGAGTAAGTTAGTCCCTATTGGGGAATTCGGAGTTATAGGATGGCTCACTCGCGTTGCGACTGCTTTGCGATGAATTCTTTCATTTTATGCCGATAGACGTGAGGCATGATATTCTCTGCGATCCGTTCACGACATCTTTCGATCTGAGCTTTGAGGTCGCTGCATAAAAGGTCAATATCAAGTATGAAAATGAACAGTGGAGCCAGTATCAACTAGCCAGAGCAGGTAGAACTTACTCCGGCATCAGATCAGGCTCCTCTGGGTTCCAGCCTTTAGGTGTGTCTTCGAGCTCTGTGATGACATCTTTTACCTTTGGCCATTTCTGTTTCTTGGGCATTTGCTGTGTAGGCTTCTTCCAGGTTTTCGAGTAATCAACCTTGAGATCGGCTGTAAGAAGTTCCTCGTTTAGGAGTTGCGGGATTCCCGTTTCTGTTTTTGCCTTCTTCGGAGCAGCTCCTTTATCTTCCTTCAAGTCTTTCTTGCGTTTTGCATTGACCCTCTTGGGGGCACTTTTACCGTCAAGTTTTGCGGCCCGGGGGAGAGTAGCCCTTGGAGGCATCTTGCAACAGAAGATAGTCACGACCAAGGTGCTTTCTATATGCAACTAGCAGGTCAAATATTGAGCATGAATGAATGATGAGTATGAAGGACAGAACTTTGAAGGTATTTGTATTCCATTTTGTGTACGCCGAACCCATCGCACCGGACGGGGGTTTGACTATGCTGTCAAAGAAAACTTAAAGGTGCTAAACAAGATAGAACAAAGAAAGGAGCATGCCCTTGGAGAGAGGTCGATTCCCCTTTTCCATACTGTTCATTCAATATAGCTTTTGAAACGCCTTATTGGGTGTGTTCTTGCAAAGTATACTCTCAGTGGATTTGACTAGGACGATTCTCCAATATGATTTTGGCTGATTTCTTTGATACTTGACAGGGTTTATGCTGTTTGCTGTTTGTTTGGGCTCTGTTTGAGCAACTTTCTGCCGCTGTGCCTGATTTTAAAGGATTCAAAGCAGCAGGATTTGTCAAATAAAGACTTGTGGATTCAAACCCAAAGTTCAGACCCTTCACTCGGCTCACTTTCAAAGTCACGAAAGAACATTAGCTAACTCGAGCTGTCTCATAACCCTGTAGCCATAAGAATGAGAGCCGAAAATAGATTGTGGCGCGATAAAATACACCTCTTAGGGCGAGAAAGTGCCGCAGACGAAAACAAAGAAATCTGACATAGGAGGGCAATTGCTCTTTGAAGATTAGTGTTCGTAGATATTGTCCTACTTCGGATACCTCCATGGCTGCTGGGATATCCGGGCCGGTTGCATATGTTTGCAAATACCTCAGTATTCTGATTTTTGTAGTAATCTAGTGGTAAAATGGTTTTATTTCCTTCCACACTCTTCAAAATGAGAAGCTGGAGCTTCCAGACACTACCCCCTGCAGATGTGGAGGATATTTGGTATGTACCTACCACCAAATCCGCGTTCGAATAGCGACTGTGACTGTTAGTGCAAGACACGGGCTGTTCTGGGTAATATCGGGCCTGGACGATATCACCTACAAAGTGTTGGGGCGTAGTCGAGCTCCCTAACAGGGGTTCGATTGGCCTCACCCGTCATGCACCTCAGACGCCATTGGCATTTGATTTGCTACTTGACTATGGTCATCGCTATCAGCTGGCAATTCTAGGACTTATAAACGGTGCGGGGAAAGTAAGGCTGTTTAGGCTGCCATCAGGGCACAACTTATATAACCATCGTATCAACTTTTGTGATCTTCTCGTTTCTACAACATTAAACGCGGTCGAAATCCACAATCCTAGCTTTTCACTTCTGATCAGTGCACCCTTTACAAGGTTAAAACTGTAGGTCTTTTTGTTCGAACCTCATTACATAAATAGAACTAGTTCCCATTCTTTCGGATCAAGATGATCAGCCACAGCATATTTGAATCAATGCAATGATGACGACATAACTATTCTTAGTCTTCACAATGCCTGACCAACATGAGTCTACCAAAGCCAAGTCCAAACAATCTTCCAACGTGGGCCAGACACTTGAAATGCTCAATTCTTCGGCCAGAGCGGCGCAACAGAAGAGGGATCAGAACCAAATCAAGAAAGCCATTAGCGCAGTGGATGACGCGATTGAAGAGCAACTGAAGAGGGAGACCGAAGATGAAACGCAAGACAAATCAGGCTAAACCGAAAGATTTAATAATTACATATCACGTTGCATTCCAAACAAAAATAGCTCTGTAGTACCAAATCAGTACAGAAAAACGCCTGAATCAACCCGTGTCATTCAACCATAATTGATTTTTATGTCAAGATTGATCCAGAGAAGTGCTTTGTTCACTGCCAGAGCTGCTTGTGGCGAAAGCCTGCTGAAGCTCAATGTCATACCTCTTCTTATCAGCAAGTTTGCCTATCACGAACCTTGGCAGGTCTTTTACCCAGTAGAAGGGCATGGTTTCACCAATTTCATCGGAGCGATGCTTAGACAAAAGGGGTTGAATATGAGAATAAAACAGATGGAACAAGCCGGTCGGGCTGGAAAGTGCCAGGGAGTACCAGAACGTTCCAGTTTTCCATGCTTGTTCCATAACCTCTGATAGTAGTAATGGTGTGCTCCCGACCTCTTTTGACAGGATACTGCTGAACAATTGTGTCTCCTCGCTCTTCAAGATAGACATCATTTCCTTGCGAGCTTCATCAAATTGATCGGCTTCGATCATGTCCACAGCTTTATTAGTCAACCAGTAAGGGGGTGCGACCATTTCGATAGGTAGGGAGCAAGCCCATTCCAGATCGACCAGACAAGTGATATGCCACTTGTCGTCAACAAAAATGTTGCTTTGGTGGAGATCCGTAAGTGTGAGAACAAAAGGCCCACGACACAAATCTCGACGAAAAAACACTGGAATTAGAGTTCGCATTGCTGCCAGTGCTGACATCTGATAAACGCAATCATGTGTGTCATTTATGGAATTAAGTTGATTCCGTAGACGACTGTCATGGGCTCCTAAGATATCCATCACGTAAGACTCAACCGTGTTGTATGTATAGTCACGGGATATGTGGGTTGGAACGTTCTCGTTCTCGAGGTCCTGGAGCTCCATCGAGAGAGGACGATTGCTTAGAGTTAGGAATCCGTCCCTGTTGATGATGAATGAACCAATGCGAGGCAAGGGTGTTCTGCTGAGGCTCAAAAAGATCCTGGACAAGTCCCGGAAGAAATTACACCGTAACTCGCTGTCTTGTTGTTTCTCCGACCATGTATTCGCAAGCATTGTCCCTTGGGTTTCTTCGATGCATTGTAGCAACAAGTATCCGGCACTGGCAACGCGACCAGGAAGTACTTCTATCTGATTTTGATGGAGGATATAGTTCGAAGGCACTGGTAGGCGAAACCAGTATAGTAGCCGGCGGCGTAGGGATTGGAAGCAACGGCTCAGAAAGGGCAGTTGGTCCAATTCTGTGAACTATTCTTGACAATTAAATCTATGTATTGGAAAGGGTGTAGGCCTCGTACGGTTTCACCTGTAGACAGCGCGAAGCCATATAACCGTGGAATTGGAACATCCGGACAATTCTGCTGGAGCCATGCGTAGGTGCCAGCTTCACATTGTATCTTTTCATCCCCGTTCCCGGGCCTGAACTCATCCCCGATACGGTAGGGGAGCGGGAATCGGAGTATGACCCGTTTTCCTGGTTGTTGCCTACTGTTCTGGATAGAGATGGGAATGCAGACATTGAAACTGCCACGGAGCCAGTATTTCACCTCTGAAACATGGCACATATCGCTTGAGCTCATCCCTAGGTGGTGAGCAACAGTAGCTTTCATCCACTCGCGCCTGTCATCAAGATATGATAAGAAGCGATCTTGTTGGCCATAGTAGCCCAGGTGGTGAAGTATGTTACTCTCCTGATCTTTGGCGAAAGAATAGGTAATTTCTCCTTTGAGAAGGCGGCGCGTCATCGTTTGGGAGCAACCCAAGGTGTGCCACTAGTATCAGCCGGAAGTAGCAGTGACTTTGGCTTGATCCCCTGAAGGACAAAGCAGATTCCATGGGTGAGATCTGGGGAAGGGGCGATCCCGTCGGGACGGATAGATGTTTCGCCGAAGTAGCTAGTATCACATAGGCAGCCCTAGAGGTAAGCATAGTTACTTTATTTCTGGACATCGTCAAAACATATGTTAGCATACGAGATTCTGGCCGAAGAAGCTATGTAGTTATTTAGATCTTTTGTCAACTTGATACTATAAGGATAACTAGATATGGCCCCACTAACTATGCCCTAAACAAGTACATACCAGCCCTAAGTGCCAAATCTATATGGCCCAATGATATCCTATATTCATCACTTTCATGGAAGTAAAGTAAGAAGAAGCATCAACCATAATAGATGGAAAGTTATGGAACAGTCATCTAGTATACAACGGATTCATAAAAAGGACAGGATATCAGCTCATCAACAAACCAAAAATTGCAAACCTCTCTAAGCGAAAGGAGAGTGAAAAGTGAGCAAAGTCTAAGAACAAAACCAAAAAGTGCCAACATTCTGAGATTATCGAAAGCAAAAAGAGGGAGACATTCAGCTTCTCATAAAGCAACTCATAACCTATAATTCAAGACGAACGGGAGCGATGAGTCGGCGGAGCTCCCAAAGGCTCCTGTATTGACCAGTCAGTGATAAAACTTCTTGAAGATTCTTTTGCGAAGTAAAGTACGAACCGAGCTGGCACGACGCTTGCGGCCGCCTCGTTCTTCGCCGGCGTCGTCAGTCTCATTCTCAGACCTGCAAGCCTCGCGCCCGACGCAAATGCTGTTGTTTCGGCCGTTGACCCGAACGCCCGAGAGAGCGCGAATGTTGATGGGCCGGGGGTAGCCCACATCGTCGTTCAGGGCATTTGCGCGGCTCAGTGCAGCGATGATGACAGCCGCCATAGAGTTAATACGGGGGGATGTTGGGGCCTCCTGGGGAGTTGAATCAGTGGGAGATTCAACTCCAGAAGGCGACACCATGATGGTGTTTTCGTCACCAGTTATGGTGATCGAGTTGTCGATGTAAATATTGATTGGGGAAGCCCATGGCTCGTCCATGTCATTCTGATCCACGCTCATGACAGTTGTGCCACTGGGTCTGGTCACAGACAACGTGTATGGGGGTGGAGCTGTGCCTAGAGTGGAAGTAGAGGCAGACGTAGATATAGAAGAAGTGTTGCGATTTGCCCGGACTTCGGCGAGCTTACTTAGATGGTGTCGCAAAGAGTCTGATGGAGGCAACATCGTGAATGAGGTTATGATATTTTTTAGTCGTGTTTGTAGATATGACCAGAGTGAAGTATGGCTGAGTGAAGAAGAGAAGTGCAACAGCGGGTTATCTGAGTATTTATGGTCAAGCGTTTGTTCATTCCGTTTGAATGGGCGAAAACAATAGGAAAAGTACAATCAATAAACAATCAATAGACAGCCAATCAGAGGCTGTCAGGGGCCATTGACTTGCCTAATTGGGAACCTTGAATGGATTTCTATTGTTCTCAATAGAGATCACGTGATTGCTATTGTTCATGGGGTATCAATAGGATTAAAACTATGTACCGGGTACCTTCGCCAGAGTGGGCACCACCGTAATCAAGAAGGTACCTGTACATCCAGTACCATGGTTTCGCTAGTGTAGAAAATGCGCCTCCAATTGTCTTCCAAAAAAGCAAACCGGGACGCTGCGGCGGTCCACCAGCCCCTGACTGTGGAGCAGTCCTTCGTAGAGCGCGTTTGTGTCACCGTAACCAAACGAACTGGATCCCAGATGATCGGATGTTCCTTCTTCGGCCGGTCGGAAATCTTTGCTGATGGCTACACCATCTGGGAAGTGGGCACGTCTGGTCAGGTTATTGGCTGATATTTCATAGGCGCAGGGTATCAAACCCTACCGATAATGTTGTGTGGCTCCTTACTGCTAGACGGGATATCGGAGCCAGAGTGGTCCGCGTGGGGTTGGCCCGGGTAGTATCGACCACCTGGGTGAAGTGATTGCACCGTCTGCAAATACTTATTAGCAAGGACAACAGCCCTTGTAGATTGCCCGAGTTATACCGGTGTTTCTGTCGCGTCCGACATCCGAACCGTTACGGGTTGGTACTGACTTCGCGGAAATCATCCCCTTCAACTTCCACCTCGCGATCTCGAATCCGGCGCATCAAAGCCATGAAATTGCTTTGTTGGAATTTTTCACTTGTTTCGTTGCGCACGCTGTCGAGCAGTTGCCCTGCTGTCCGCGCAAGTTCGTCGGCATCTCGATTCCGTGTTTCTGGGTCCTGCTTTTCACTTTTGGGAATGAGATCCGATCCGAGTCGAATATGCTCTTGGGTAACTGGCTCAGGAATGCCGACTTCATTGGTCTCCTGCGACAGCTTCTGGGTATCTTGCTGAGCAGCGTCGACGCCTTGCAACTCCATATCTGCCCGGGCCTGATCAAAGGCAGCCTCAAAGGCGGATTCGTCAAACTGTTGCATGTGGTGTTGCTCGGTCTGCATAACCTGCGAGGGCTGCATCTGATTCATGGAGGATCCATACATCTGGTAGCTTGGTGCAAAAGCTGGTTGATAAGCACCATGCATTTGCGGGGTTTGCTGTGCCTGAGACATAGGCCCTCGTTGTTGAGTCATGAATTCAGAGTGCCACCCGCCATGCGCTGTTGCCGGTGCAATATTTGGTCTTTGTAGTTGCGCTACGGGGTGTGCGGGCCCCGAGATTTGCAAGTTCTGGAAGTCCGATGCCCAACTGGCGTTGCCTGCACCATGTGCGGCTGGATGGTGTACTGCGGCATGATGTGATGGTGCTCCAAAATGGGCAGGATGTTGTAAATTAGGCAATGCAGGGCCAGCGAAGTTGCCTTCGAATGCGGCGAACTCCGGGTCAAGTATTCCTTCTTGGGGGTTCTGGGACCGGAAACCCTGTAGTATGCGTTTAGTATAAATGAAACAATGCCGTCTCAAAAGAGCTACCAACCTGAACAGGCGATTGACGGGAAGTCAACCGGTCTTGCTGAAGGGTCCGATCAACAGAGGTATGCTTCTGGAAGTTCTGAAGGGCGTTCGACGGCCCGCACAGCGCATCACCCATAATGACCTGCTTAGATCGACCAACTGAGCGAGAAGTGTGATGTGGTAACTGTGGGTTTCAAATCTCCTCGTAATCAGTTTCCAGCACAGATTGCAGCAAATATAGGAATAAGGTGTTGAACTTCAAAAGAAACTCCACGCCACCGCGTCGTGGGGTTACCGATGACCGAGGCTCATCACGTGCATAGATTCAGGTAACGTGACCTGGCTAAGCACACGATAAGATACGGGAAGGGCCAGGTTGTTTGGCTAAAAGGGAGAGAGCTACCCCGACTCCGCGCGCTTTCACAGCTATTAACTTCTTGTTTGCTTTATTTATTCAACATGGTAACTGATATTCTGCCACATTGCTTCGAGCTTGTTTCACAATCCCATCGCTAACAGCTTCAAACCTCTAGGCGGCCCCTCAGGTGATCTCGAATTCCGGACACGAAGAGATGATTGTATGTGCTAAGATAGGAACTGCAACTAGTGGTCTATGTGGTTACACAATGTACGTGCTAACTGATTATGTTGAATAGCACGATGCTGGCTTGGACTATTATGGCCGCCGGTTGGCCACATGTTCATCCGACAAAACGATAAAGATCTTTGAGATTGAGGGAGAAACACACCGACTAGTCGATACGCTGAAGGGGTAAGCTGGTCCTACCGATGTGTGCAACTGGGTGTCTTGTCTCTAACGTGGGTTTTTGATAGCCACGAGGGTGCTGTGTGGTGTATCGCATGGGTGAGTTGACCCCAAAACATCAGCAATTATAGTGCGCAATGTGACTGACCATGCGATTCTCTCGATCTAGGCGCACCCGAAATTCGGCACTATTCTAGCCTCATCTTCCTACGATGGCAAAGTTCTGATCTGGCGGGAGCAGCCCCAGAATGCGACCTCGCCCTCCGGTGGTAGCACATGGACTAAGGTCTTCGATTTCTCCCTCCACACGGCCTCGGTGAATATGGTTTCCTGGGCTCCCCATGAGAGTGGATGCCTTCTTGCCTGCGCTTCTTCCGACGGCCATGTCAGCGTGCTCGAGTTCCGTGACAACAACTGGACCCACCAAACCTTCCATGCTCACGGAATGGGCGTCAACTCTATCAGCTGGGCCCCCGCGGCCTTCGCTGGTAGCCTTATCAGCTCTAACCCCGGGCCCGGACAACAGCGCCGGTTTGTTACCGGTGGCAGCGACAACCTGGTCAAGATCTGGGAGTATAAGTATGTCCATTGATAACCCTTGCCAAGCATACAGCTGTAACGTGAACTAACTCGTTCTTTAGCGCGGAGTCCAAATCTTACAACCTCACTCAAACCCTCGAGGGACACACTGACTGGGTCCGCGATGTGGCCTGGTCCCCGAGCATCCTCTCCAAGTCCTACATCGCCTCCGCCGCGCAAGACAAGACCGTTCGCATTTGGACCTCTGATGCTTCTAACCCGGGCCACTGGTCCAGCCAAACATTGGAGTTCGACACTGTTCTGTGGCGCGTTAGCTGGAGTCTCAGCGGTAACATCCTTGCCGTCAGCGGAGGTGATAACAAGGTCAGTTTATGGAAGGAAAACCTCAAGGGGGAGTGGGAGAAGGTCAAGGATATCGAGGAGTAGTGGCTGTTTTAATTTCTATGTGTCATCTATTCCCTTCCTCAACGCATAATTCTGTTCTATCCAAAAGCTCCATTGCTTGTTACCATAAATATTGATTCCAGCGAATCCTACGCAATTTCCAGAGCTTTGGGCGAGCTTGATATGTTTCATTCCCTATCTCGTCCATCTCGTCCATCTCGTCCACCTCGTCCTCCGCTCAGCTCCCAGAAAAACAAAAGAAAGAAAGGCACTAAATAAGAGCAAATAAAAGCAAATAAAAGCAAATAAAAACGTAGAAGATATCCCGTGTGTCTCAAGATCAGCGCATGACTGGCGCTAGCCCTCACACGTCCCAGAAGATGAATGGGCCTCTAGCACCTGTTTCCTTCATATCCACCCACCGTCCAAGCATCATGCGCCCACCGGGGATGATGACAGCCTCATAGCCATGGATCCAGCCCGGGCCGTCCATTACGAGGAGGGAATGCTTCTCTTCATCACCTTCATCCGCTTCGGCGATGATAAAACAGATCCGCATCCATCCCTCAAAGCCACCGTGTGTGACAGCAATCTCTTCGGTAAACCCGAACACGTGGTTTCCCGCCTCATGGGCGCCACTATAGGCTCTCTGCTTGCCATCGAAATATGCCCGCTTGATATTGCGACCTTTAGCGAGAGGCATGATCTTGCTGCATTGCTTGGGCCAGAACTCTTCGGAGGTTGCGAGGTCAAGGGTCTGACATTTGTTAGTATAGCCTTGCAAGAAACTGGTCTTCCACTCACCATGATCTCGACCCCGTCACCGTGTGTCTCAAGATCAGCGCATGACTGGCGCTCGTTGTCTTGCAGGTCTGATATCGGATGCATGCATGCTAATTGAAAACTGAAATCAGCTTGGGGTCATGATTGGATTTTTCTCCCTGTTGGTGTACTCACAGTAGTATCCTAGCCACGATGAGCTTAGTTTGGATTCCTCGATTGGAAGCTCCTTTCGTGTCTTGGGCTTCATCTCTGCAGGCAGCGCGGAGAAGGATTCCTGGAAGGTGAACTCGGAGGTGTTCAAAAGATGACGTTGCCAGAAATTGCGCAGGTTCAGCAGTTTGACGAGATCGAGCTTTTTGTGGTCGATATATGCCTTGCCCAGCTTCTCTCCATATGCGTAAACCTGTTTGATGTCGTAGTCGGTTCGACGGCAGTGATCGGTGATCGTTGGATCGAGAGCAAATGCACTCAGGCTCTGTGTATGGATATCAGTGAATGTCCAGTCCATTATTCGACGAAACATGCGTACAAGCTGGAGACCAAAAAGAGAGTTTCGAGGAAGGTTCTTTCTGAAATTCGCTCAAAAAATCCACCTTCTCGAGTTTCTCCTGTATGCGTTGCAGGGTTTTTGAGGTCGATCCAGGAATGATGGGTAGTTGCAGAGACTCCTCGAGCATAGTCTGCATGACCTCCATCCAGAGGAATTGGCGATCATCTTCCTTCTCTTTGAACTTGATCGTAGCGCCCAGCACAATGGCACGGATCTGGTATTCGATCTTCAACTCCCCAGAAGTTTTTCCCGGAACAATATCGTAGTGTTTACCAAAGAGATATCGCCAGACGGACGAGTCGGACCCGAAGACCTTGTTCCACATCTCTTTGCAAGACTGGGAGAGATGGAAAACATCACGATCGTTAGGGAGATAGCATGCAATGTCCTGGAGAACCTGTTGATCAAATATCGATAGCTGCAATCTAAATTTTAGAACTATAGACATATACTTACCTCGTTTGGAAGCTCGAGCAGTCGGCTTTGAGTACTTGGCATAGCAATTGAATCGGGCCGCACGGGGTTGTTGGGCGACATGTCTGTAGTTGTGGTAGTATTCGGTATGTATACCTATGTATTTCGATGTGAGGTGGAAGATGTGAACAGAAGACGTATGTGCAAGAACGACTTTCGGAATAAAAGGCGATAGATATTCGGCGCGTACGTTCATGTATAGCATTCGGTATGTTTGTCTATGCACTTTGATGTAAGGTAGGAGATGTACGAATTTCGAATAAAAGGCGAGAGATATTCGGTGCGCGCGTTCACTTGTCCTTGCGGTATAGCATTCGCTATATTTGCCTATGCACTTCGATGTGAGGCGGAAGATATGCGGCGGAAGATGTATGTGCTAAGAACGAAACGAATTTCGAATAAAAGGCGATAGATATTCGGCGTGCGCGTTCACTCGTCCTTATGGAATAGCATTCGGTATGTATACCTATGCGACGTGAGGCGAAGGATGTGAACAGAAGATGTAAAGTGTAAAGAGCGACCTAGGAATAAGATGCTACAGATAGTCAGCGCACACGTTCACTTATCCTTATGGTATATCATTCAGTATGTATACCTATGCAGTTCGATACGAGGCTGAAGATGTAAGAGAGAAGATGTAAAGGGCGAAGAGCGAATCTGGGAATAAGAGGTAATATATATTCGGCCCGCGTGTTGTCTTGTCCTTGGAGTGATTCATTTCGAATATGCAATATCATTTTTGATTTCAGTTCGAACGTTGGGACAATATGCGTTCGCAATTAAATCGGGTGAAGCTACTTAGATTTGCGTGATGAGATTCGCCTCACAAGTGACAACGCAATAATGAATAACAAAGAGGGACAAAGAGGTCCGCGGTTCGAATTTACCTCTTCACATTCCAGAGATTGATGGATTTCTTCACATGCTATATATGGCGTGAGAGGCTATGTCGCTGCAGGCTTTCTTTCACGCCCCAGCCATCTGCTAACAGGCCTTTGACTTCCTCTAGGCTAAGTCCACTCATCTCGGGGTAGATTGTCCATACAGCAACCCATCCAGCCACACAGACGAGTGCATAGAGGGCAAACGTCCATGAGGGGGAGATCAATTCCATCATAGGCAAGAAAGTAAGACCGATGATAAAGTTGGATCCCCAGTTGGTTGCAGTGGCCAGTGCTGACCCTAGGGAACGTACATTCAGAGGGAAGAGTTCAGACTGCTGCCAAGGGACATTACCGAGCCCGAGGGCATATGCCGCCGTATAGACAGTAAGGCAAAGCAGAATTGCAAGGGGCACAAGGGAATTAGTGCTAAAATGGTTTTCTTGGTGGTCAGTTGGAGGTTGTGGATTCCATTTGCCGTCCATTGACGAAAACGAGAAAGCACAGACGACCAGAGCAACGACCATGACAGGGATCGAATACAGGAGAATGCGCCGGCGACCGATTCTGTCAATCAGCACGAATGCAAGCAGCGTGAAGACAAAGTTCGTCATAGCCACCGAGAGTGATGTCAGTGTCGGCGACGAGAACGAAAGAGAGGAGAAGATGGTTGCCGAAAAATACATCAAGCTGTTGAATCCGCAGAGCTGCTGGACTGCCTGGAGCATCATTGCTATAATCAATGCTCTTCTGTTTCCACCATGCAACAACTGCTGACCCCGTTGGATGGTATCATGCAACCACTGGGGCTTTGTGCCACGAGACTTAACTGGTCCCATCTCCGACGCCTCTTGGACAATTTCCGCGTTGATATTGCGCAAGACATGATCCACCACCCGGTCACATCCAGGGCAATCCTGATAGATCTTGGACAGGACTGTCTTCGCTCGGGCATCAAATCCAGCCTGGAGCAGCCATCGAGGCGTCTCGGGTAGCAGAGCGAGGATGGCGAGTTGGAAAAAGGCCGGCAATGCACCAATTCCCACAATCCACCGCCAACCTCCAGTTGTACCAGAAAACAGCCACCCGACTATGTATGCCACCACCTGGCCACCGGTGATGAACAGACTGAGGATCGTCACAAGTCTTCCTCTTGCGTGCGAAGGAGCTAACTCGGATATATACCTGATTACCTAGCATGTTAGCAATCACCATCTCTCTTATAATCAAATTGATGCCATGGCACAGGTTCTCAGTCCCCGCCTGACGACAAGGCCAACCTACAATGGAGTCACCGCACTCGCGCTACCAACAGCAAGACCAACAATGCTGCGTCCAAGGATCATGCCCCAAACCTGACTTGTAAAGGCCTGGACCAACGCTCCAAGTGCAAACAACAGATCGGCCCCAAGTATGACTTTCCGACGACCAAACTTGTCCGCCAGCACTCCGGTGAACGGGCTCGCAATCAACGCAAATAAGCTAGTGCATGATGTGATCAGGCTTTTATCGAGTGTTGATAATGTTCGGCCGGAAAGATCTGACCCGATGGTCACCAAAGTAGACGAGATAACACCTGTACTGGAAGTTTCAACGATTGTTAGTGAACAGGAAGCAATGAAGCCGCAACATGGCGTGTTTGGTAGTAGCTAGCATACTCATATCCAAATAGTAGACCGCTTATCCCAGCGGAGAAGGTCAACATCCATATGAACCAGCCTCCTGAGTATTCCAGCTCAGAGGCCAGGCTCTCATCGTGGTCATTGCCATCATGGTCGGAATAGGCGTGGGATGAGGCGAGCAAAGGGGCGCGGGGGCCTGATTGGTCTTGCTCATCTGCGCCTGTCATATCTTCGAGCTCTTCCAACTTGATCCTGAGGTATCATCCGAATTTTCAATGATATGCCCCTGATCCCCCAGGGCATCTGAGATGGTAAAGTGACGTCCGGGGCTAATCGCGATAAGCCGATAAGGAGACGCTCAAAGCCCGAAGCGGAACTCGGATTCCGCACGTCGATATAGTTCAGGTACAACTAGAGATCTATTTCCATACATATGCACTGGGATGGAATGAAGGCCTAATGTATGACTATTGGGCTGCAGAATACTAAAAATGTGTAATGTAGATTCATGCAAGATTCATAGTTTTTACGGCATTAATGTATACATATATAGCCCTCCTAGCCTAGTGTTTAGCCACAACACCGGCAGAATCAGCCTGTGCGCTGATCTTCTTCTTGTATGCGCTCACGGTGCCGTCAAACTTGTGGACAGTACCGCCGTCGCAAACCCAGAGACTGGTGCAGACATTCTGCAACATGGTGACATCGTGGGAAACCATCACCACACCTCCCTCGAACGCCCGGAGTGCATCCGACAGAGCATCCATACCCTCGATATCCAAGTGATTGGAAGGTTCGTCAAGAACAAGGATATGGGGATTGGTCAAGGACAAGCAAGCAAATGCAACACGAGATTTCTGACCTCCGGACAGTAATTCCATACGTTGGAGACCGGTTGTACCAGTGATACCAAATCTATAATATGAAATTAGTTAATGCAGTACATGCGAGTGGTTTGGATAAACTTACGCTCCCAGGTGTCGTCGGTACTCCTCGTCAGTTTTACCGGGATATGTCTTGGTCATGAAGCCGACTGCACTGGCATTCATGTCCAAAGCATCGACGTGATGTTGGGCGAAGAATCCGATGCGCAGTCTCGAGTTTGTGGAGATGATACCACTTGTTGGCTCAAGCTGGTTGGTGAGTAGTTTCAGGACTGTGGTCTTACCAGCACCGTTAGGTCCGACAATTCCAATACGCGAATCGAGTTGAACATCCAGATCGACATCCCTGAGAAGAGGTTTGTCCTTGGTGTAGCCGAAGCAAACATCAGACATCTGGACAATGGGTGGTGAAAGCTTCTCGACTCCAGGGAAGGCAAAGTGTACGGTGTACTCGGCCTCTGGAGCTTCGAGAACTGGCATGCGCTCAAGTTTCTTGATTCTCGATTGTGCCTCGGAGGACTTCGCGGCGTTGTATCGGAACTTATCAATGAATGCTGATGACGATCGTTAACACAGCCCTTATGAATAGATGGAGGGGGTAACGAACCTTGCAAGTGAGCTCTCTCGCCCAGTTGCTTCTCATATTCACGCTTAGCAGTCTTCCGGCGCTCCTCCTTGGTAGCGTAGAAGGATTCTGCAAATTGTTAGAACCATTCATATCCTTGAGATTTGATGTAACTTACCGAAGTTAGCACCTCTGTAGTAGTCCAACCTCTCGGAGTGCTGGTGGATAATATCTGTGGCGACTTCGTTCAAGAATGCACGATCGTGAGAAACCACAAGGACTGTGCTAGGGTATCCCTGAAGGTAATTGGAAAGGAAAGTAATTGACGGAACGTCCAACATGTTAGACGGTTCTGTGAAATGTCAGTAGGCCGCCTGTAGAATAGAGAGCAGTGGTATATACCGTCAAGCAAAAGCAAATCGGGCTCGCAGAATAGAGCTCGTGCAAGAGACAAACGCATTCTCCAACCTCCGGAGAAGGTCTTGGTGGCGTACTGCTGGCGCTCTTGGGAGAAACCAAGACCAGCCAAGATACTAGCCGCACGAGATTCAGCCTTATCAGACTCCATTTCTGAGAGCTTTCCATAAATATCGGTCAACGTGATATCCAGGCCCTCGCGCTCCTCGTCAAGTCTAGCAGCATCCTTTGAAGTATCCGCCAATGAAGACCTTTCTTCTTCGATGGCTGCAAGTTGTTTTGAGATTTTCTGTGGTCGTTAGCAAATATGCTGCTATGGCATCTTAGGACTTGACTAACCGCTTGCTCGGATAAGAGATGTTTCCGCCACACATCAGCATCCAACACTGCTTGCAAAGCTGGTGTATCATCACCAGTAATCTACGGTTTAGTCAGTAAGAGAAAAGGCAACCGAGCTGGATTCGAACATACCTCTTGCTCAACGTGAAGAATAGAAACGTGAGTCGGAATCGGAATTTCTCTGCGACTCAAAGCACGCAAAAGTGTAGATTTACCGATACCGTTCTGACCAACAAGACCGTAGCGACGACCATAAGCGAGTGTGAAGGCAGCGTCTGTCAGAATGCGCAGGCCACTAATCGAGATATCAATGTTATCCAACTTGATGTCTTTGCTCTTGGCCTGGGAGTCCGAGCCCAATTGAAGAGGGTTGACAGCCATGAAGAACTCCTCGTAGGACATAGCCTCATCCGGCTGGTTGAGCAGACGGGACGCCTCGTAGGTAACGTTCTTCATAGACTTCTTGTCCTGCTTGGCGCGAATCTTGCGCTCGGCCTTCTCGAGCTTCTTCTTGTCGACCTTGGACTCCATCTTTCTAGCATTGGCAGATTCCAAGTCGACAGTGTTTCCAGTCAGACCGAGTGTAGAAGACATGTTCCGCTGCGCGCCGACACTGATGGTCTGATCAAGCTTTTTAGCCTTGAAGGGCATTTGCCTCCGCTCTGGGTCCCCATCAGAAGAGCTCAGCGTGGTAATGAACTTCGCAACTAAGTTGCCGATCGCTTCGTAGTTTTGCGGGGAGAAATCTCCCGAAGCGGAGACTAGGAGGTTGGTCACGGATTCGGCGGCCTCTGTCAAGGGCGACTCGGCACTGGCATCGTCGACGTAGAGATTTGCGGCATGGGTCAGGTAGCCCTGTCAAATAGTCAGCTTCAACCCACAATTCTTCACCGCGCATATGTGCAGAGAGACGTACCACTGAGTATTCGGTGATGATGTTGTCGATGCCAGGGATCTGGGATTGGAGTTCGGACTCCATATTGCCAGGCTCGAAAGGACGTATTCCACGCCGAGATTCAGGAAGCTTCGAGGTCAAGGTTTTGTGGAGTTCTACAATTGATGTCCCCACCGTGAATAGTGGCGGATTTTTGTATGTGTTATCGATAAGATCACATGATACGAGTGGCCTCGGAAAGCTTCTGTGTTAGAATTGTCTTTTGAGATAATGTGACAGATATTAAATGTCAATTAGGGTAAATACTATCCCTAGCTTTGGGAAACACCAAAACGAATGAGAGGCAGCTAGGTAGTTGTGATTTCCCATATATTTGCGGCTACTATACTCCGTAACTACCGAAATATAAGCGATTTCTATAACCTCAACAAAGAAGGTTATGATCATAGCTTTGTTTTAAAGTACTTGATATTCGAAGCAAGCTGTCGAAAACTCAATTTAGACAAAAATGAGATCGAAAGCAGTCTGCTGGCTGTATATCGCCAATCTTCGCATGAAGCTGTTAAATACGAGCATCCATCTATATTATTAGCATCAAGTTCCCAGCCAATTAGTTGATTGAGCACAGATAGCGAAGTTCAGAATCACCTCTTGGCATTTGTGATATACTTGCATACGGGAAACAAGCATCAGATCACCCGAATGTCACACAGCCCCAATATTTGAAGTCCTTAGGCAATAGACAAAGTACAGAGTAGACGTAGCATACGGGCGAGTAGCATAATGATCAGCTTAGCTCCTGCGGCCTCCCCGGTCATGTTATGAGCAATACGAGGTTTTGCGACGGTGGGAATAAGTAGGAACCAGATCTGACCCTGTTGTCCAAAGATGTTTCGGCTACTCTGTGCAGCAATAGAGATAGACATAGACGGTGGAGTAGAAGATGTGGCCTGACTAGAATACTCTGCATCAATAACTGGACTTGGATGAAATTACAACATACTTAAATTAGATGGCTCTTGCAGGCTGCAGGCTGTAGGTGTTTCATAAGCAGTTTTACGTTCGGAGAAACTACATTGGACCAATGAGCAGTAGGTGAATTATGAACAACGCAGAGGTATCGGTTATTTAATTAACAATCAACTGCCCAATGACCCTATACAAGCTTAGAATCTGGAAGCTGTTCAAAATGCAATTTCCACACTTCACCAAAGTCGGAAATTGCAAAGCACGGGTGTGCAAAATCGGCCGAGGGTCGGAAGGCCGAGAATTGATGTCACCAGGGCCAGAGGTGAATGGCATCTTTGTTTATTATGTGATTCTTTTCCAAGAATAGTCAGAAATGGGCCATTCGACCTGGATATTTCAAGATCACCAAACAGTGCAGGGAATATCTTGTTCCGGTCTGCAGGTCGCTGCAGCCCACACTGATATAACGGGTGACGACAGGTGAGAAAAACAAATTAAAGTATTGGTTCATAGTTACTTATGAACAGTTGACACGGGATATGTAGACCTAAATCAAGGAACCGGATGGACGTTCCATATATCGACCTTCCTAAGTGAATGATTGGATCTGCCGATCGCTAGAAGTTCGGGTGTTATGTAGGGATCGGCCTGAACCGCCTTTCAGGTAAAAAAAAAAGAGAGTTAAAGAGCTTGAACACGAGGTGCTTCTTCCCCCGCTCTTTGATACACTATTGACGGTTAACTGCCAGAGCTAGAAGTATGACTTTGGAATTAGGAATTGTGCTTCACCAGGTTCCTTTGATCTGCAAGGGGGAAAAGAGAGAAAAGGGGACTTTTATATATAGTAATGTCCACAAAAACAATAGCACCGGGTACTATATCGGATTAATTTATAAAATCGAACAGGTCAACTCTTGAACCTAAGATCGTACTTTAATCTTCGGACCGAATTCGGAATTCCAGGATCACGCTCTCCAATATAGCATTTAAAGGTACGGGGTACCGGTACCTGCTGGAGCCCTTGCATTATTGAACCTCCTCGCAACGCTTTCAGTCGATTCTTTGTCGGATATTTAACTCCAGAAGTGAAGTCAGCAAAGTCAGCAAAGTTGGTTGGAAGTGGATCTGGATGGTGACAAACCAGCTTTTCACTCGGCA